GAACTGCAATCTCTGCCCTTTCCTTTCCTATAAAAGCTGTTCTTATGTTGGATCAGGAGCCTTGTTAGTATTTAGCATGATTTGTAATTTTTTTGTGTTGTTTTTGATTATTGAGTTGAAGGAAAAAATATCTGTTCCTTTTTCATTCATAGTTTTTCTGTGTGCAGAGACATATGAATTCTCTCTAGTGGTCTGCAAAGTAATAGTTCTGAATGCTCAGTAAGGTCTATCCTTCATTAAATACTGGTTTAATTGCTATATTTGTGTTTATTCTCAAATGCTTGTTGTCACAGATGTATTTATTTAGAAAATATTTATTTATTTATTTATTTAGCAAATAATTGCTCTGTTTTAGGGATGTAAACGACTAATCAGCTATCTGATATGCAAAAAGTTATTGGATAGTTGACTAGTCCCTCGACTAGTCTCTCCCTCCCCTCCCCACCGCTACTTCTACCAGAGGCAGTAAGGGGGGGAAGCAGGAACTGGTCCTGGGGGGAGCCGGTTTAAAAGCCAGTTCCTCCCAGCAGCGGCTGAATGGGGGGCAGGTGGGTAGCGGGGACTGGATGCGAGCTGGCTCTTAAAATTTCTGATTCCTGGCTCACGCTGCTCCCCCGCCCCCCCACTGCACACCATTTAAAAAGGCTGGTGTGCGAGCTGGGAATCAGCTTTCCTGACTCGCTCTGGGTCCCGCGTGCTGCGCTTTACCCTTTAAAAGGGCATTTAAGTACTTTAAAAAGGCATTTAGTACATTTAAAAGGCAGAGCTGCAGCAGGGTTAGCTCTCCACTGCGGCTTCCCTGCTTATCGACAGAAAATCCATCTACTAGTTGATTAGTTAATTAAACTAAATTTAACATCCCTCCTCTGTTTGCTTTTTGGAGATTTTCAAAAATGGATATCCCATTTTGGACAGGTTATTTTTTTCTGGATTCTTGCTATCTTTTCAAATTACAGAAAATAATGTGTGTTGTCCCAAGTTACTCTTTTAGAGTCAATGGGACTTGAATACATGCTTGCAGTTAAACATGCTTAAGTGCTTTCCTGAATTGAACCCCATTATAAGCTTCTTTGACCATATTTCTTTCTCAATATTGTGTTCTAGGATTGTTGAATTGATATAGTTTGTCCTTATTTTTGTGCAGATACCCTGATACTACTGCTTAATGAACAAGTCCTAAATGAAATAGTGTGAGAAGAAATACAAGTAAAATGAGAAACTATAAATGTATCCTGTAGTTAGACATTAGCAATTAGTGTATTGCTCCTTATGACATAAGTTTAATATCAGCTGATTCTCTGTGACAGAATGAATCTGTCCCTGGTGACATTGTTTATTGCCTCCAACTTTTATTGGTTTAACCTGTCCAGACTATCTCCAGAAATCATATTTTTAAGTCTACTTAACACCCTTTTCATGATTGCTTTTCAATCACTATCTCTAAGTTTTTACGAGACGGAGTCTTTCATTTCATCATGACCCTTTTAAATTTATTTAAACAGTGTTATTTGTTTCCCTTCAAAACATTTTTCGCCGTAGGGAGTGGGAAAATAATGTTTTCTTTAAAGAAAGTTACTTGAATTACATTGGTTTGAACCATTGCACAGCTACACAGCAAGCCATTATTTTGAAACAATTGTCAAAACGATGGAGGACTTTTTACTCTGACTCTTGTAACCCTCATTTCATGAGGAGTAAGGGAAGTTGAAGGAAGAGTGTTCTTCCTTTGACTTCCTGCTGTGTAGACAGTGCCAATAGACGAATTAAGCTTTTTCTACTTCAGCTATACAGTTGAAGTAGCTGAAATTGCGTATCTTAATTTGACTTCTGCACTGCATTGTAGTCGTGACCACTGGCTGCTTGAATTTGCGCAAGAGCACTGACTTTGTAACATACAAAATCAGTGCTTCTTGCGCAAATACTTTCACGCTCCCGCTTGGGAAAAAGCCTTCTTGCGCAATAATACTTGCGCAAGAGGGCCAGTGTAGACAGGGAAGAACTGTTTTGTGCAAAAAAGCCCTGATGGCTAAAATGGCGATCGGGGCTTTCTTGCGCAAAATTGTGTCTACACTGGCCACGGATGCTTTTGCGCAAAAGCATCCATGCCAATCTAGACGCGCTTTTGCGGAAATACTTTTAACGGAAAAGTTTTTCCGTTAAAAGTATTTCCGCAAAATCATGCCAGTCTAACGTAGCCAAAAGTATTAAGTGATTTTTCCCTGAGATCCAAAGAAAACTCTATAAGGAAACATGGATGAAAGTTAATGGCATGAGTATTGATACTGAATTTGAGTCTTAATAGTTGCAGTGTAATTGTTAATTAGCATAATTATACTTCCTATAACGTATAAAGAAAAAGCCAAGTTTTGCAGTGTGTATACCATTGAACTCTTATCACAAATTCTACTATGGAAAATGATTTAGTGTGACAGAATATTGTTGAATTGAAGCAATAATGCCAAGGTTAGACTAACTCTGTGGTTCTAAACACTTTAAAAAAATTTACAGTAGACTTCCGATATCCGGCACCTTTTGGACCTAGGTGGTGCTGGATTATCAGATTTGCCGGAGAATCAGGACGTCTGGTACAGCTGCACGGCTTAACAGCTGGCCAGGACACAATCTCCCTCCATCTCCCCTCCCCTTTTCTCTTCGCCTCTCCTCCATGCTGTAACCTGATACTCCTCCCCTCCCCTCCCCCCTTCGCTGAAGCAAAACGCTCTTCTCCATACTGTAACACGATCCCACTCCCACCCCTCCTCCCCCAACCTTATGCTCCCTCTGGTTATAGCCAGTGCATGTGCTAAGCAGCAGGCTTTTTAATCAGCTGGTCAGGAGCACTTGACATTTTGATGCCGGAGTATCAGGAGTGCCAAACAGTTGGATGCCGGAGTATCGGAGTTTTACTGTAGATGGTATGATGAGCTTTCATTAGCGCAACCCTCTTCTTCAGATGACTGGAGTATTAGAAGTCCGGATCCAAGAATAAATAAGGGAAGAGGTCAGAGCGAGAGGAAACAAAAAGATGGGGGGTGGGGGTGGGTGAAGAGAGAGAGATAGTGAGTAGATGGTTCAAATAGTTACAAGAGGCTGATAAGAACAATTAGCACCTCCATTGTTTGTTTGGTTGGTTAAGTCATTAGGATGTGGAAGGTAGTGTGTGAGCCAGCCTATGTCCCTGTTCGTACCATTTGCATAAGAATTAAACTTGTAAATGAAGTTAAGTTCCAATCCTTCCCTGTGTACTTGGCTTGTGGAATTGGCCTGAAACAACGCGGTGATTTGGACATTCATTAATGAGTGTCCAGGCAGATTAAGGTGTTCTCCAACAGGTTTTTGTGTATTGCCTTTTGGAAATCTGATTTCTGTCCATTAATTCTTTCCCGTAGGGACTGTCTGGTTTGGCCAATATACATGGCAGTGGGGCACATCTACATTGGCGATTTCATCACTGGACCCGACCACATTAGCCACCAAATCAGAGGCTCATTTAACTTCATGTCCACTAATGTGATCTATTCCATCAAATGCCAACAATGCCACACTGCCATGTATCAGAGGAAGCAGTGCAGAGTGGCAGGGAGCTCCTCAGGAGTGGCATGGGCTGCCAGCCCTGCCCCCGGGGCTATAGAATTGTTGAATAACCTATAAGAATTCATGAGGGTAATTGACTGTTCAGTTAACCCATATTTAACATCCCTGTCCCAGTTGTGGTGATGGATATTTGGGGATTACCTGTCCACCCGCTTGCTGCAGTCCCTTGCTTCTAAAGGAATATACAATGACAGTGCCTTCATCTGGTTGGCCCCTGTTCATACTTAATGTTGTGCCTTGAGAGTCTCTAGGAATAAACTTATTCCAGTAATAATCTGGATCTAACTCCAAAACAACAGTTATAAATAATATACATCTAATTTAATAAATTAGAATTAGCACGCCTTTACTTAACAGCTTAAAGAAGCAGAGTTTAACAGACTAAAAGTGAATAAAATCAATTAACAAAGGACACAGAAATAAAGGAAACTTATCTAACTGGCATTTACACTGCCACCATTTATCCCACCCCAGAGTGTGCATTCCTTTGGATCTCAGAGTCCCAGACCCTTTGTTTGCATGGGCACTTTTGAAGCTCTGCAGCTGGAGTGGAGACCGAACTGTGCAGGTTCTCTGTGTGTGTGTCAGTCCAGGCAGGCAACCAGCTGCAAAATCCGTCTGCCACTGGAGCTGGCCCCACCAAATGTCAGTAGCTATAGTTCACTGGGCAGATCACTCTGGCTCTCTTCAGACCCAAGGTCAGTCGGTCTTCTGTGTTCTATTCCAGGCAGCACTTTCTCAAACATTACTTACAGTTACTTCTATGGAGGCTCTTCACAGGCACAGCCAAAGTCTCTCCCATCCAGGGACAATCACCAACAGCCCCTGAAGCAGCCTGCTAAATCAAAGCCTGGGCAGACTCTCAGCAGCAGGCTCTAGCTTCCAGCAGCAGCTCATGAAATGTAAAAGGCTCCACACCAGCAATCTGGGTCCTCTTTCCTAACTGGAGCCCACCAACTCTCTCCCTGCACTGCCTGGAAAAGAGCACAGTTTTCCTTCTTTTTTTTTCTAAGGTATCATGGGAGTTTTAGTCTCTAGGGCTAGATTGCAGCACCAAGGATCCTCCCAGTAAAAGTCAGAGGCTCCTATAGCAAAGGGAGCCTGCATAAAGAATTAGCTACACGTTTATCAGAAAGCCGCCAATGCTATAGCTGGATGTTCAGTTATATTCTAGCAGTTATGTCATTAAACACAAATAGATAGATGTTCTGTTTTTGAAAGTTAAGTGTTGTATATATATTTTCCAGGAACATGTGATAAATATTGTGTATATAAATTTCTGGTGTTTAGAAGGAAATTGGCAAGTAATATAAATGAAAGTAGAAAGCTCATATAAAGTACAATTATCAGTACACATCTATTGTCTTTCTATTCATACTTTCTTGTTTATTGCTTGCTTTGCACAGGAAGGAGTTGCAGGAACTGCAGAATCTTTACAAGCAAAACACAGAACATACAGCACAGCAGGCAGAGCTGATCCAGCAGCTTCAGGCTCTCAATATGGATACACAAAAAGTACTGAGAAATCAGGAAGATGCTCACACAGCTGAAACTATATCATATCAAAAAGTATGCAGATTTTTTCTATCACAAATGTATAAATTTAAACATATGTATAAGTACTGCCCATAAATATCAATATGCAGCACTTGGGATAATAGAGTAGCTATGTGATATTGTATCGGTGCTACTTTGTGATGAAAATGTAGAAGGTTGTTTTGCATCCAGTTATACCCACTGAAGGGAATGCCCAGTGCTTCCATAGGGACTGCATACTCCAGCACTAAACATGGGATTTAGTGGTATATGAATAATAGTCCTGGTGGATTGCAAAGTAGAGTGGCTAATTTTTAGTTTCCTTTGCCTATCTTTGTTTCTTTCTCTCTCATTCATGGGAAGAGAATGTTCAAATTTATAACAACTATTATTAATTAATTAGATGGAGAATTCATATGTAAATTTGATATTCTTGTTAATTGCAAACAATTTTTTGCCAAATGACAAAATTTGAAAACCTGTTGCATAGAACTGTAACCATGACTATGATAATTTTTCTGTGGATGTTTTATTCAAGGCTTAGTAATGTATTTTTCTTTATATAATATGAAAATAATGAATGTTGTCAGCTACTTAGAGAAATTTCTCTTAAAGGCACCATCTTGGATTTAAACCTTTTTGGCTTTGACACAGTTATGTACAAATCGCTTTGAGTTTATACAAAAGAAAGAAGACATGCTTCTTTGTCTTTAATAAGTATAGAAAATGAAGAAGAGCTACATATTATACAGAACATTTATGTACCTTTTTTATAGATCCAGAGACTTTTTATTCCCAAGTGAATACTAATACTCTTTTCAAATAATATTAATCCTCTGTGGCTTTTCCACCTGTGAAGCGTGTTATAAAATTGTGAAGCTGATAATTTAAACAAACTAAAGTAGGTGATGGATACCTAAGTGTAATACTTAGAACATTGTTATATGTAGTGCTGTAGAACCTTAGGGTATGTCTACACTACCCTCCTAGTTCGAACTAGGAGGGTAGTGTAGGCATACCCTTAGTGACTAACAAATATATAGAGAGAGTACCATGAACTTTTGTGGGCAAAACCCACGTTCACAGATGAGAGAGTGACGATATATGATAAATATATATACTATATACGTTAGTCTCTAAGGTGCTTCAGAACTACTCCTTTTTAAAAATTACAGACTAACATGACTACTCCTTTGAGACTTATTGTCATATGTGTTGAACAGGTACAGGTACAGGTTGTCACAGGTATAGAGTTTTACAGCTACTGGAAAAGTATACTGAGCACTACTCGTAAATAAAAGTTCTTAGTAATATGACTTGGATACAGATAAATTATATACACTACTGTATCTGAAACAGATGTAGCTGTATCAAGAGATCAAGGAGTTCTGTATCAAGAGATTGTGGTCCTTTTGCTTTGGGTCAGCAATGAAGTGGCCTAGCAAAGCTGCAGAGTAGTTATATTAGAAATCACCTTGTGGAACACATTAGAGGTTCTGCTTGCAGCTGGCAAGATAGAATAACAGCACCTTCCACTTGTAGTGATCAAAAGCTTCTGCTTTATTATTTAGGACGCACTTATTAGATTTCGCTTTATCCCTCTTACTCTCTTACCCTCCACACTGATTTTCAGCAGCCTTTTCTCTCTCCTGTGCCATTCCTCTACACCTTTGCCATTCTGGCCCTGACTGGTCTGGGCGGCCACAGCTAGGGAACCCTGGTGGCAGCTGGGAGCTCCAGGAAACACCCTGTGGCAGTGGAGCCGGCAGCAGCCAAGTGAACCCTGCTGGGAACCCCACAAGACCCTGAGTTAGCAGGAAGGGCAGCTGTACTGAATCAATGTTGCAGGGGGACAGTGGAAGGGAACCTGAGGGAAGGGAGCCCAGGAGCAGGGAATCCAGATGGGGAGCACTGACCTCCCCAAGTACACCAAACTCACTGGCACGGGACAGCTCAGGACCCCAACATGCTGGACCAGGGAAGTTCAAACTATAGTATCATTTTTATTTTAAATAACATCTATACTAGCAAAATCCTTACTAGGGATGTAAGTGACTTTTCAGATACTCGAGTGTTCACTTGACTAGTCATTTCACCCTTTCCCTCTTGCCTCAGAGAGGGGCAGCAAGGTGGGGGGGAGCAGGAACTGGTGCTGAAAGGGAGCCAGTTTAAACGCCAGTCCCCCCAGCACTGTCTCTGTGGGGCAGGAAAGGCAGAGGCGTACCTGCTGCTGCGCCTCTTCCTTTGAAATGTATAAGAACTGCGGGTGGCTGTTGTTCATTTCAAAGGGAGAGGAACAGCAGGATAGAAAGCCCTTCCCCTTATCGACTAATTGTGTAGTTGATGGAAATTCCATTGACTATTCAATTAGTTGATTAATCAAAATTTAACATCCCCTAATCCTAGTGTAACAAACTTATACTAGAAAATTTATTTCAGGGATCTTGTATAAGCTATGTCAAGAAAAACACGTCTTTGCCTATATATAAGCTGCATCTGCACTTGGATGGTCTGCTAGTATATCTATCTATAACTATACTGGCAAATCTTTTGTCATATAGATATGGCCTGAGGCTCATATTTTCAAGAGGATTGACTAACCCTTCTCAAACAGTCCCTCTCAGCAGGTGGTGAGAAAAGAACAGACTGTTGCACTGACTGACAGGCAATTTGAGACTACAGAGAACAAAACTGTTTCACTTTTTGGGATCAATTATTCTGGTTCTGTTTAGTAATGAATTGATGACCCCTATTCCATCAAATACTTCAATTCATAGGAGACCCTTAGCTGTTTTCTTTTAAATAAATATTCTTGGGAGACTGGAGTAGGGGGAATGAGTACCAGTTAATTCGAGTTAAGGGATTTTTTTCGGAGTACCGCGTTTATACGCGGCAAGTAAATCAGGCTAGTCAATTTCCAAAATGGCAACCAGCCACGACTATGCTAATCAAGCATGGGATATTTAAATTGCGCACTTCATTAGCAATTTTGGTCACCCTGAATAAATTAAGACAACTTTTGGGATACCTTTGCTATTATTTGGGGTATATTTAAACAGGAGAGGTTATAATTTTAGCAAAACAACTGATTCTTCTTCTTCAAGTGCTCTCACTGTGGGTGCTTTACTTCTGGTTCTGGTGCGTCCTCGTTCAGGTGGTCAGATATTTTTCCTAGCAGAGTACATGCGCAGTAGCATTCCCTCACACCATTAGTGTTCATTGATTGCTCGCACAGTGCCACAGATCCTACTCTACTGTCCTCGGTAGCAGATGGAGCTCCTTGCGGTTACCCTCCTTTCGTCTAAATCACAAAACAATTAAAAAATTAATTCAGGTTTTACCTTTATCCAAGTTTTTGGACTTTTTCTTAAAAAAAAACAACGTTTGCGTCGTGTCTTTTTCCTCCCCTCCTCATTCAACGTGTTTGGTTCCCCAGGTTTTAAGAGGTTTGACTCCTTCAGGGAGTCTATGCCTGTCTCTCACAGTCATGCTTCATTTATAAAATGCCTGGGAGAAGTTCATCTCCCAGAAATGCCTGCACTGTACTAATCTTACAGCATGGGCAAAGCGTAATCAAGAGAATCACCTTAAGACCTTCCTCTTTGAAAGGTCTCTCTAGCTGCCTTGCGAGGATTCTCTCTTCTCAGCAAAGGGCTCAGATAGGGAAAAAACTTTAGCTTTGGCAAAGAAACATCCCTCTTCGTCTTCAGACAAGACGACAGCAAAGGCCTGGACGTCCCTGGTCAGATCCTTGCCTCTGGTACTGAGCTGTTCTATGGCCAGCACTTCTGGCACAGTGACAACAAAAGACAGCATGTCACACAAGTGTGCACACTCTAAACCTAGGCAGAAATCCTTGGCACTGATGCCTGACATGGCACTGAAGACAGTGACGAATATAGCACCGAAGACGTCCTGTACCAACATGCTACATCGGAGGGCACCGATGCTGATATTGTCCTTGACACCGATGGCCCTGCCAACGCCATCTACCAGAATGGCCCCACACAAAAGTGCACTGAGACACATCTCAGCACTGTCAAAACAAACGGAAACTGGCACACATTTGGTGCTGCATTCACCAGTTTCACCAGTGCATGCAGTCTACTCCCCCAGAACCCAACACCATCCATATCATTTAGCAAACCAGATACGGGGCCGATTTTCTTCCCAGCACTCCTTTCCAATTCAGCAGCTCTGTCCTGCTGGGCCGTCTCCCTGGTCTCTCCCAGCCAAGAAACAGAACTTAGATCACTGATCCCTCGAGAAGCAATACAGACACTGAAATCCTTCAAGTACAAGGAAAATAAAGTTTTGGGCCCAGCTTCCTGGGATACCACTCCCCAAATGAGATTAGATTCCCAAATGAATTATGTATGTAAGCCTCCTTTAATAATGAAAGGGGGAATATACACACTGATTGCTCCCCCAGGTAACAATTATTTACACTGGCTTGATAGAAAATAAAAGTGATTTTAGTAATTATGAGTAGTAGGATTTAAGAGATTATTAGTGAGAACAGGCAGAGCAAAGTAGACTTAAAATAACAGAAAACATGTACACAATACTAAAACTAAACCTCAGTACAAACTTATTACAAACTCACCCTAAAACTGTTTCTTTTCCAGTTAAGTGTTCAGACCAGGGAAGTCTCCTTTTCCTTGGGGTCTTTGGTCAGTTCCCTTGAATGTGTCACGCCAGCCAGCCCAAAGACAAAAACCTGCTAGTTTCCTGTTGTTTTAAAGATTCCCACTTTTACATGAGAAGTTACCTGTCCTGTCTATACCAGTTAGGGAGGCCAGATGACTTCCTAAGACCAACCACTGCTCAGACGTAAGGACAAAAGGCTATTTACATATGATTTGCCCAGACATTGAGGCATCCCAGCATTAGAAACACTCTCAATGGCTTTCCTTTGCACATTTAAAACCATAAAGCATTCCATACTCCATATGTCTAATTTTACACAAAAGCACGATACATACACCAAAATAAGATAAACAGATCCAACTGATTATGTCATGAAGATTAGT